GGCTGATGAAGCCGCTTCTCCATTGCTAGCTCTATCCAAAGTTCCACAGCACATACCCTCTACCTCTAGGAAGCAGCAACTAGCAGCTTTAGACCAGGGTTGGGGATGGAGTGGTGGTGGTGGCTGTCATTTTTCTATAGGTCACACAGAATTTTGTGTGAGCTACTAGAAACTCTTGTCTCCTAAAGGTTAACTAAACCCCATTTAAAGAATACTGGAGGATTATTTGGGCCCATAGCCTGACACTTAACTGTCATTTTCTGTTGCTGCAATGCACTACCGGACACTGGCTAATTCATAAAGAATAAAGGTTCATTTAATTTAAGGTTCTGGAGGCTTGGAGTCCAAGGTGAACTGTAATTTCTGAGATCCTTCTTGAGATAGGGAACTTTCTGCAGAGGTTTTAGGTAGTGCAGACCATCACATGCCTGAGTGGGCCCATCCAACCTGGCCTTCCTAACAGACCCAATCCTGAGATAGCTTTTTAGTCTGTTGATAGATGGATGCTCTGTCTCCTGTGACTAGTTTCTTCTTAACTATCCCATCTGGCCTGATTGCTTAGTACCTCAAAGTGGAGAATATATATATATATATATATATATATATATATATATATATATATATATATAATTTAGCAGGGAAGATGACTCCGTGGGTAAGGGCACTTGCTGTACAGTCATGAGGACCTGAGTTCGAGTCTCCAGCATGCATGTAAAATGGACAAGACAATGCATACACACAAAAATAAGACTTATTTAGGGGCTGGAGAAACACTCAGAGGTTAAGAGCACTGGCTGCTCTTGCAGAGGACCCAGGTTCAATTCCAAGCATCCACATGGCAGCTCATGATCTGGTGTGCAGACATACATGAAGACAAAGCACTTGTATACATAAAATATATAAATAAATCTTCAAAAACTATTTATTTTGAGAGGTTTCTACATAGCCCTGGCTGTCCTGGAACTTACTATATAGACCAGGCTGGCTTTGAACTCACAGAGATCTGCTTTCCTGTGCCTGGTGCCACCACACTAGGTTGTGGTTTCTTTTTGTTTGTGTATGGTTGTATTGCCTGAATGTATGACCATGAACCCTGTGCATACAGTACCCGACAAGGCCAGAAGAGGGTGATAGATCCCCTGGAGCTGCAGATGGTTGTGAGTCACCACATGGGTCCTGGGAATTGTGCCTGGGTTCTCTGAAAGAGCAGATAATGAATGCCCTTTACCCCCAAACCATCTTTCTAGTCCCCAAGACTGAACTTCAGTGTGAATTTTGGTGGGGACGTTTAGGCATAGCACACCATGATGGAAGTGTTGAAGACATTCACCACAGCAGGAAGCCACCATCTCCTCTGGGATGGAGATTAGGTGATGCCACAAAGCCTGTGCCAGGTCACTTGTAGGAGACGGGGACCATATGGGCTTGTCCAACAGTGATGGGTGCTGCTGGGAAGAACATATTTTTGTGTCTGGGTGTTCTGGCTAAACCCATCTGGCACAGAGCTGACCTGAAGACCAAGGTAGCCTGCAATGGCCCCTCCCTCTATAAGGGAAGATGGCTGCATGCCAGGATAGCCGGCAGTGTCTGCTAGCAAGGCCCACGAGACAGTGAGAAACATTAGAGAATCAGAAAAGCTGCTGGGTGAAATGGCAATTTGCAAAAACACAAACTGCATCTCTAGACAGCAGGGACAAATACCAAATATCATTTTAAAAGATCTCATTATGTGAGCAAAACCCATATATTTTGGTAAGGATATATTTAAATATTTTGTCTATGCTCTTAAAGGATAACGTCAGATAATACTATTAGAGGAAGAGAAAAGGTGTTTCTGTAAACAAGCTAATTTTCTTCCAAACAGTTTAATACATTCAATTATTTCCTAATCAGTATCCCAGCAGGATCCTGGGGGAATTTGACAATTTAAGTATAACAATTATTTGAAAGTGGGGGGAAGAAACCTACGTAATTAGCAGTGAGGGAGGAGGGAGAGGGGAGGGGTAGGAGGAAGAAGAAAGAGAGGAGGTGGGAGGGGGAGACACAGAGGGAAAGTAAATTGCCTAGTAAATTCTAAAACTGAACCTGGCTGGGTGGTGGTGTGTTATAGAATTTTGATCTGTTTAACCAATGACTTGGGGGAGGAGGGCAGCAAGCTCCAGGGCATGGTCTTGTCTGCCTTTAATCCCAGCACTTAGGAGGCAGAGACAGGCTCCAAAATTACACAGGGAAACCCTATCTCAAAAAAAAAAAAAAAAAAAAAAAAAAACAAACAAACAAAACCAACCAACCAACCAACCAACCAAACCCCAAAATAGTAACAACAAACAAAACAAAACCAAAACTGAACCTGCTGCCAGAGTGATTATTTCTGGGTAGCATTTGCTCAGGGATTTGATATTTGGCAATGGCGCATAACATGATACAGGAGAAAGCCAAATTTGTTTGTTTTTATTTTTAAATTATGTGTGTCAGTGTGAATTTGTGTGAGTTCAGTGCCTGTGGAGGCTAGAAGCAGACATCAGATGTCCTGTAAGTGGAGTTACAGGCAACTGTAGCTGCCTGGGTGCAGGTCTTCTAGAAGAGAAGCAGACACTCTTAACTGCTGAGCCTTCTCTCTAGATTCTTTCAGTTTTGTTTGTTTGTTTTTTTGAGAGAGGGTCTCATTATGTAGTCCTGACTGGTCTGGAATTGCATATGTAGACTAGAACTCAAAGAGATCTGCTTGCCTCTGTCTCCTGAGTACTGAGATTAAAGGCTTTGCCTACTGGCCAGATTTCTCTTTTATTTTTCTTATTAATTTATTTATTATTTGTTTTTCAAGACAGGGCTTCTGTGTGTAACCTGGCTGTCCTGGAACTAGCTCTGTTGACCAGTCTGGCCTTGAACTGGGAGATCCCCCTCCTGTGCCTCCCAAGTACAGGGATTAAAGGTGTGCATAGCCACCACCTGGCCTGGCTCCACTCTTTTAATTTTTTAATTAAGAATCCCATACATGCATATGTGTTTTGATGAAGTACACTCTCCATTCTTTCCCTTCCAGCTTCTTCCCTCTCCTCACCACCATTTCCTCCCAGTTTCGTGTGTATGTGTGTCTGTATGTGTGTATCTGTGTCTGTGAGTGGTGTGTCTGTGTGTGTGTATGTGTGTGTGTATCTGTATGTGTGTATCTGTGTCTGTGAGTGGTGTGTCTGTGTGTGTGTGTATCTGTGTGTGTATGTGTGTGTCTGTATGTGTGTATCTGTGTCTGTGAGTGGTGTGTCTGTGTGTGTGTATGTGTGTGTCTGTATGTGTGTATCTGTGTGTGTGTGTGGTGTGTGTGGTGTATTTGTGTAACTCAATTAGTACTTCCAGTATGCATGCATGTGGAACCATCTACTAGGTTATGGGTCATATGGCTTCTCAGAGCCATCACCTTGAAGAAAGCTGATCCCCCTCTTCCGGCAACCATCTATTGCCCTTAACTTCCCAGCTATGTTTAAAATGGAGCCCACCTTTTTTTGGGGGGGGATTAATACTGAATAGGCTTCCAGGGTGTGAGATAAAATGTGTAGTTTAACAGGAACAGAGGCCTCTGGGTTCCAGATTTCCCAAGGGCAGGAAGTAAGGGGAGAAAGTCACTCAAAGGTCAAAGGGCTCTTTCTTCCTTCCTTTTTTGTGTGTTTTTTTTTTTTTTTTTTTTTTTCCAAGCAGGGTTTCTCTGTGGCTTTGGGAGCTGTCCTGGAACTAGAGTAGACCAGGAAGGTCTCAAACTCACAGAGATCCACCTGCCTCTTCTTCCCAAGTGCTGGGACTAAAGGTGTGCGCCACCAGCACCCAGCTCTCAAAGGGCTCTTTCATCAAAGTAGCCAAGAAGGTTCTTGAAAAGGAGAGGCACCTAAGGGGGCAGATCTCAGACCCAGTCAAGGCATAACCTGCTCCTATGAATATAACAACTCTTCACAGTGGGCTTCAGAGTTGTGATTGACCAAGAATCTTGTCATGTGTGGTTTCTCCCCGCATCACATGTTAGTGTTTGTCTTGATGGACATGTTTGTGCCTTTCCACACTGTCAGCATTGTGCAGAAGGCCTTGATGACAGGTGGGTTTTTGTTTTTTGACAGGTGGGTTCTTAGCATTAGGTACCACTTTCTATGGCCCAGGCAAAGGGCTTGCATTATTTATTGGTGTTTGATAAGCTCAGGACCTGGCTTCTCATAAGATTTTGATTCACCCCTGATTTAACTTAGTTTGTAGGTGGTGATTTCATTTGCACAAGTGATTTTTATTAGTCTCTGCTCTGTGTTAGATAGATGGTGTGTACTTGCACAAGCAAACTGAAGGGTCATTCTGTGTCACTTTGGGGTAATAATGGAGCTTTATACAATGCTTTATAAAATGGACTAGCTCAGGTAACCGCACAGCGTTAAGAGGGCAATTCTACACAGCATTGTGTCTGTGACTCTGCTGCAGGACACGGAATGACCTGCTCAAGTAGTTTACCTTCACTAGGATGTGATGTGTGTGTGGGTGGGGCAGATAAACCATCTTTTTAGGAGCTGCCTGGGAGCGGGGGTTAGGGGGGGCGCATCCAATCTATAAGACCGCACAGTATTCTGGGCCTTGAGAGTCACTGGGATGGAATGAGTCTTTTGGGGATCTGGGGAGAAACACGTTTGACACTTGGGGATCAAGGCGTCTTTGTCCTACACCAGTGTATGAAGCACATTTCCAGCGACCTCTGCCTGGCCTGAACTGAGACAGACTGGACCTGGCCATCCAGTACTGACGCCATTCAGCACCCTTTTACCGGCACTCTCTGGGTACAGGCTCTGTCCAAGAGGCAGCCCGAAAAGCTAGTCATTACGTAAGGCACACGGGGCACGCGACGACCGAGCTCTGTAGCAGTCGCACCCTCGAGTGCTCCGATCCAAGGAGACCACCCCGTGCGCATGCTCCAGGACGCCACGCCCCTTGCGCGACGCCTTGTGACGTCACTGGCCTGCGCCAGCAGGAAGGGCGCTGGACGTCGCACGTGTGCGGAGGCCGCGGGCGGGCCCATGGCGAGCACCGCGGGGCTGGCGCTGTGCGGCCAGACGCTAGTGGTGCGGGGCGGCAACCGGTTCCTGGCCATTTCCACCGCGAGCAGGTAAGAGACCGGGTCGAGAGCGGCCGGCTCACCGCGGGGCCTGACCGCCGCGGTCCCGTATGAGGCCTATTCCCTGTCCTCGGAGTTCCCTCCGACCTAGCGCCCCACGACCTACACGGTGGGTCGGGTGCTCTCTCTTTGGAGTCGGGACACTTCCGGGCTCTGCGGCGCCTGCGCATCGTTGGGAGGTTCGTGTCACGTGTGTGTCGCGTAAGCCGGACTCTGAGTCATGGTGCTCCGACCTGCTCGGAACTTCTGTGATGAGAGTCGTGTATTGGCGAACTCTGCTGGCTCTCACTGCGTACAGAAGTGCTTCCTGTCCCTTGTCTCTGTCCAGCAACCTGGGGTTTTCAGGTTTTTAACCCGACACCTCCCAAACTCAGGATGCACGCAGAGCCAGAAGTGAGCATCTTCCTAGAGGTCCTTCACACCATTGGTTTTGCTTCTTGTTATTTCCATAGTGGTACGTCAAAGGATTCTTAACCCAAGTGAGTGTAGGACAAGTAGTTGTGACCCAGGAACCGAAGGATTCAGTGGCAGTCCGTTTTGGCTCCCCCCCCCCTCCTCCCTACTTAGTTTTGGTACTTTGACACTTGTAGATTAGAAGTGTTCCTCAGTTTGTGTCTTTGGGGGAATGCTGGTGGCCAGCAAGGTTTCAGACTTGGACAATGACTTTTCTTTCTTCAGTTAAGTGTTTAATTGGAAAAGTCTGGTGCAACCACTTTATGGCTGTCAATAGTACAAGGTACTGGGGTACCGGGCCAGAGGAACAGAAGGGAGCTTAGCTGATAGGGAGAGCAAGTGATTCCTATATGAGTAGGTGCTGGAGGCTTGTGGGGGCTTTTCCCCAACACGTGAGACACGTTTCTGGACCGCGTAAGGGCAACCTCAGCTGTTTTAAATTTGGAAGCAGAGCCCAGTTGAAAACTATCAGAACGTAATTTCTTAGAATCAACTTGGTGCCTGGAAGAAGAGGTCACTGATTGGAGGCCTGGGCCACAGAACCAGCTGGAACTGAAACAGCCTAGTAGGAGGTTAAGTAGATGACCCCTCTTGGCTCTTCTGTCCCAGAGAAAGCCCACAATTCAATGATGATGAAATGCCTTTGTCCAAGAGTAAGAAGGACCAGTCCTGTGTGTTGATAAGTTCTCGCTCCTGTTTCTTCTAGTGACGATGACTGCGTCTTCACATACGACTGCAGTGCTGCAGAGAGGAAATCTGAGCCAGAAGAGAAAGGGTGAGATGATGGGGAAGCGTGCTTGCTTGTGTTTTGAATGGTGAGACCAGCAAGCCAGAATAGGGATTTCTGACTCGCCGATGTTCTAGTTCTGTTACCTGGTCGTGGGGAGAGGCTAATTTCTCTTCCAGAAAGAAAGGTGGAAATAATTTTAAATTTAGAATACTAAGGACCAAATACTTTTAGTGTCTTTAGTAATCATTTTTGTCACTGGCCCCTTAAAGTCATAGTGACAATTTCAAATGCGTTGAGAGCAGGTGTGAGGAATTAACTAAGTGAAAGGTACACAGCAGTGATTGTTTTGTATGGTAGCTTGGTGATGTGACTCAGTTTGTTAGTAATATTGTTGGTCCCTGTCTCTGGCCTTGGATTAGCCCATGTCTAAGAGGGTTAGGCCATGTGACCACTGAGAGCCCATCCAGTGTACACTGGATGTTAGTGTGTAAGCAGGGAGATCCATTATAAAATTAGAGCTGTGCTCTGAGCTTCCCCTTAATTTTGTCATTATGCTCTGGCTACATGAACTGCTTGATAAAGCATCTTCTGCCTTACCTGTGTTAGAATGGACAAGTCTGGCAACTCACGTGAGGCCTAATTATTTTCTTTCTTCCTCTGCCCCTCTTCAGGGAGGACGGACAGCCCGTAGACAAGGGGACCGACACAATTCTGGCGTCCACCTTCTCCAAGTCTGGCAGCTATTTTGCTTTAACTGATGACAGTAAGCGTCTGATTCTTTTCCGTACAAAACCATGGCAATGTCTGAGTGTCAGGTATGAAATGCTAACATTGAGTCATTAAGATGTCCTATGCACTCTTGAACTTGCATGTCATTATCAGTAGTGATAGTAACCATTGTAATAAGCAGCTAACACAAAGTACCAGCTGTGTGTGAGACAGATTTGAGGTGTACTTGTATTAACTGACTGAATCCTAATAGCGTGTGAGGGTGGTATGGTCCCGTTCTCCTACAGTGGGTGGCCTGGGGTTGAGTAGCCAGGCCATTGAGCTTGGAAGGCAGAGCCAGTATATCTGATCCTCTGGCCACAGTGTCAGTACTCTGTGCTGTGCCACTATGTCATTCTGCTTTCCATGTTGCTGTAGCCTCATGCCCGCCCGATAGGAGTAGGACTGTTAGCTCACATTCTGAGAGTGTCAGGGCTCAGGGGAAGTGGAATTGGGTGTTGCACATTTGTAAGCTAGGTGGTGGGCTACATCCTTTTCTTTCTGAGGAGAAGATAGAGGACAGCTAGGTGTAGTGTAAGACCAGCAACTGGGCAGGATTGCAGGTGGGTATTCTGGTCTTCTCCGCCAGCAGGTCTGTAAATACTCTGCATCACTTACTATTCCTCTCAAACTGTAACTGTCATTTCTGAAGGGAAGGTACCAGGAGAGAAATGGGCCTGTGGTTATGGGGGAGTTATGGTGATGATGTTGAGGGGGGAGGAGGCTGGGAATCTGTGTTTCCAGAGATGCTGCTTTTCTCAGTGCCACTTTGTCCTCGAGAGCGGAGGTGGTGTCACTGTGGCACACAGTGCTGGCAGATTACATCTTGTTGGCTCAGACAACCTTCTAATACAGATGCTCTGGGGTTCCTGAATCCCGTTCTTCTGTGCCAGCAGCACATGGAGTGGAGTCAGCCAGGGCATCACTTGTTCTGCCCCATGCCCCTCCCGCCCAAGTTGCTAGTGGAGCTGTGCTTGATTTTATCCATCAGTTTTCTAATTGCTGACAATAGCAAATTCCCTGACAAAAGCAACTTAAGGAAGGAGGGCTTATTCTGGCTATTTTATCGGGATTGCTGTCGTGACAGGTGTGGTGCTGGTAATGTCAGGGATGTGTCAAGATTGGAACACGGAAGGCATGTGTGCAGAACTCACAGTGTTGTTCACTCCCCTGTTGGTATGTTAGGATTCAGAAAGCAGGGATGGACAGTCTCTCAAGGTTTGCCCTGGGGCCTTATGTCTGCCAGTTAGGCCCTCTCTTGAAGGGTCCATGGCCTTTAGAGCCACACCATTGCTGTGGACAAAGTGCTCAAGCAGGGGGCCTGAGGGGACCTGTGTCCACCCAGTCAAGTAAGCTGCGGTAGCAGCTTTGGAACTACTGTTCTTCAGGGACTTCAGCTAAGCATTTAGGTTTTTAGTTCATCCTATTTTCTAAGAGATGAATAAAAAAACCTGGTTTCTAGGTGGCATCAAAAGCAAGAACATTCCAGGCAGTGGTGCCACACACCTTTAATCCTAGTGCTTGGGAGGCAGAGGCAGGCGGACCTCTGAGTTCAAGGTCAGCCTGGTCTACAGAGTGAGTTCCAGGACAGCCAGGCCTGTTACACAGAGAAAGCCTGTCTTCAAAAACAAACAGCGAAACCCCAAAAACCAACCCCCCAAAACAAAAAAGCAAGAACATCCACTCTGCCCTCTTACCTGTCAGTTTAAAAATAGTGGCCTGCATCACTGCCTATCTCTAGGTGGCAGTGTGTGTTTTTGCTTCTCAGATGGATAATAGATGTGCAGTGTTTAGAAACAGAGCAGAACAAATTAAACAAAAGGACACTCTTGTATCAGGCTTCCTCAGACCCCTCCCACATACAGATGATTCACCAGCAGGAAATAGTCTTTCTTTTTTAAATTTACTTGTGTGTATTGTTGTGTGTGTGAGCTTGTGTACCTATATATGTATACCTGTGTATGTACTTGAATAGTTTGTCCTTCTATCATGGGGTCCTGCGTGAGAACTCAGGTCATCTGGCTTGGCAGCAAGTGCCTTTATCCTGGAACCCTGGACATATAGGGCATGTGTCTGTAATCACACCACTCCAGCAAGATGGGAGGTAACTACAGGCAAGCCAGCCTGGTATACACAGTGGCAAACAACAGGAGATCCTGTTCAAACAGAGTGAAGGAGGCCAGGAGTGCTGCCTGAGCTTGTCCTCTGACCTTCACATGTGTGCTGTGGCACACACATGTTTACATTCACACACAGGAACCCACTCATGCACCCATTAAAAGAGTGTGATGGTGACCCTTCTGTAGAGTAAAGGCTCCGGCTGTGCAAATGTAGGCACAAGAATCACCTGGTCACCATGACAGCACAGGTTCTAATGTGCTAGCCATGTGGCTAGAGCCTGGTGCTCAGCACATACACACGTTCCCCTGCTGGCCTGTACCCTCAGCCCCCAGTGTTCCATCAATTCAGATAAGCCAGTGTGGTTATAGTGCTTCTGGACTGTGTGGATTGCACTTGGAACAGGAAATGTAGGCTCAAAGAGCTCTCTGACCCTCCCTCTAGATCCTGCAGCAGGCCAATAGCACAGTTAGGGTTTGTGACAAGGAGATCCAGGTGCCCTCTAGGATGAAGGTGTGTGGGAGAGTGAGATGTAGATGCTGTAGCTTAGAAGGTGGCATCTGGTGGTGCAGGCCCTGGGAGCTGCTGTGGCTGGATAGAGTTCCACTGGGTGGGCACACAGTAACATTCCTAATGTCCCTCTGTTAATGGACATTTTTCTCTTACATTTTGCTACTTCAGAAAGCACCTCATTGGACAAACAGATGTGTTTGCATCTGTTAGTAAGTCTGTAAAAGTCACCACAGTAAATTGAAGGTAAGGGGCTGTACTTGTCATTCAGACTCAACAGTTCCAGAGTGCCCTCCAAAGGTGCTGTATCTGTTTCTATGTTCCCCTGCATTAAAAATGTCTCCTAGGGCATGTGCCTCACTGGCACATGCAAGGTGTTGGATTTAGTCTCCAGCCTATGCAAGAAGTTTTTTTGAAAATGCTATTTTTATTTGTGTGTGTGTGTGTGTGTGTGTGTGTGTGTGTGTGTGTGTGTGTGTGTGTCTGTACACTGAGTGTGTGCATGGTGCCTGAAGAGGCCAGAAGTGGATGTTAGATCCATTGGAACTGGAGTTAAAAATGGTTGTGAGCTACCATGTGGGTGCTGGGAACGCAGGTCCTTTGCAAGAGAAGCCATTTCTAACAGCAGAGCAGTTTCCATGTTTGCATCTGTTTTCTCATTATGCAGTATTCTCAGATCTTTAATTCTGAAAGAATGCTCTCTATCCATTCATCTCACAGTCTGTAAGGCAGTGCAGCGCAGCGGTCTGCACACTGGCCAGTTGCTTGTGTTTTGTGAACTTCCTTTTGTATCTTTCGTATTTTTTTCAGTGGGAGGACTTTTCAAACCTTTTCCTGAGTTGTAAGAGCTCTTTAGAAAAAGCATGGACATCTGCCTAGAGCTGAGTAGTAGCAATGGGCATGGGAAGACTCGTATAGGAATCTGGCTCAGGATATATGGGATACTGGAGTCCTTGTGTTTTGTCTTGACTGCTGTGCAGAGTTGCTCATTGAGCCCATTAGCAGTCTCAGCGGCTCAGGCCGTTTGCTTTGAGTCATTGGCCCCAGAGCCTAATTGTCTTTGTCTTGTTGTTCTCCATTGTTTCCCTCTGGAGCAGCTGCTGTGCAGCTGCACTGCTGAGGAGAGGAGCAGGGCTGCAGCCGAGCCCTTCCTTATTCTTCTTTTTCTCTGTGTGGAGCAGTCCTCACATTTCAGGTTCTGTTTCAGGCGCATACACATTCAGCCTGCTGCTGTGCATGTGTGGGTCCTATTTTGCCCCAGCAGCAACTCCTCAGCAATGGCTCAGGAGAGCAGGGCTGCTGTGATGAGAGTCCTTGCACTGCAGAGAGCAGTGTTAGGGTTTGTGCTCTGTAGAATGGCGGGTGCAGAAGGATATGGCCTATAATTATGGGGGAGGGGTTTGGGTTCCCTCCCCTTGTATGGGACAGGAGTAAACTGTAACCACTGCCACTTTAGCTTGCAGATGGCACTTACTGTGGGATCTGAGCCAAGGATTGCTGTGGATGGGTTAATTTGACAGATGGGTAGTCTACCATGCAGTTCCTGTACCTTCTACTGGGGATCCAGGTTGTCCCATGGCTGTTCTGGATATGAGGGGAACGACAGCCTGATGGTACCTCTGAACTTATTGCCTCTAGGCACAGGCCTAGTAGCAGAGTTACAGAGGTGATGGGTCAGGGAACTGATGGTTGTGGTTTAGGTAGAGCCAGGTGGTCCTGCTGGATGGGGAGAATTGGGTTGGATTCCAGAGAGCATAAGCTTTGTAGCATAGCTAGCCTTTGTCTCCTTCACCTGAGCAATAAAGGTTCGGGGGGAGGAACACTTTCCACAGCATTTTATTATGAGCTTTTCAAATGTACAACAAAGTTGGAGTGTTTTCAGGGTGAGTACTCACAAGACAGGCCTGGAACTTCAGTCCTCCTTCCTTAGCCTCCTGGGTGCTTGGGATTACTATGTGTGTCAGCATGCCTGCCTTTTTGTTTTTACATTTTAGTTTTGTTTTTGAGATATGGTTTCTATGTAACCCTGGCTGTCCTGAAACTCACTGGCCTCAAACTTGGAGATCTGCCTACTGCCTACTTCTGCCTCCAGAGTGCTGGGATTAAAGGTGTGTTACCATGCCCAGCTGTGTCTGTCTTTTTTTGAGGGAGAATTACAAAAGTTTAATAGGTTGAAGGCATTGGCTTTGTTTCAGTTCCTTTGTGTTTGGGGCACCACCTTCTGTAATGCAGACACTGACTCTGCATGTAGAACAGATGCTTCCGACCTGCAACAGGGTTGTGCTTAGCTCTTCCTAAATTAGAACTACTTTTAGGTTAAAAATACATTGACTAAGGATCTGGAGAGATGGCTCAGTGGGTTAAGAGCACTGGCTGCTCTTCCAGAGGACCTGGGTTTGATTCCCAGAACCCACATGATGATGACTCACAACAATCTGTTACTCTAGTAACAGGAGATCTGACACACTTTTCTGGTCTCTGAGGGTACCACGAATGCATGTGCACAGACATATATGCAAGTAAAAAACATTCAATGTACTAGTAAAATGAAATCTTTTCAAAAAAAAAAAAAGTGCGTTGACTACCCCAGTCTGGAGCATATGAGACTAGCGTCATCTCTGAAATGTGATCAGAATCACACCTTAGAAAGCTGTGTAAGAGAAGGCCTGCTTTACAGTCCCATTGATTACTTGGAGTTGGGTGATTACTGAAAGTGAGAGCTGGGTATGTGGGTACACCTTTGCACTATGGTAGAGTCAGAGTATTTTACACCTAAGCCATTTTATGTTGGGGACCGACTCCAGATCGAGGCTGTGTGGAGGGCCTGTGCTGACTTTGGGCGCTAACCTGCTCAGCTCTCTGGTTCTGCAGGACTGTGGTACGGAGGTGCACTGCCCTGACTTTCACAGCTTCAGAAGATCGGGTCTTGGTGGCTGACAAATCTGGAGATGTCTACTCCTTCTCAGTGCTGCAGCCTGATGGATGTGGCAAGCTGGAACTTGGGCACCTCTCCATGCTGCTAGATGTGGTATGTAGGGGACACACAACACTGTCTGCTCAGCCAGGGCTTGAGAGGGAGCAAGGTGGGGGCAGGGACAGAGAGGGAGGAAACATGGGGCTCTTCTAGAACAGGAGACTTTAGAATGGCATTGGCAGATGAAGTGGGGTTCACTCAGTTCTGGACCGCATTCCAGGCAATGTAGGGAGGTGACAAGAACTACCTAGTATCTTGCCAAGCTTGGCCTATAACTTCCCCCTTTTCCCCTCCTAGGGTTTAGCCAGGGCCATGGCTTCGAGCCTGTAGCACTGGGACAGAGTGAGGTGGAATCAAGGGCTGTGTGCAGTGCCTGGCATGACTCTGGCTGCTGCTGTACAGTGTGGAGGATGGGAGGGTATGGCTGGGTGGCATTGGAGCTGGTCTCATCTGTGGCTCTGCTTGTCATTTAAGCTGGGGAATGTGAACTGGGCACTACTGGGGACCCTCCCTCAGTAGGGGATGCTCCCTTTGTCCCCCATCAGTTCCCCTGCTCTTCCAAGCTACATTTGCAGCTCCTTAAGAGATGCCTTAAAAATCATGGTACTTTGCAAGGCCACCCAGTGAGTGACTCTCCTACTGACCCCTGGTGATATAGGCCGTGAGTCCTGATGACCAATTTGTGCTCACTGCGGACCGGGATGAGAAGATCCGGGTCAGCTGGGCAGCTGCTCCACACAGCATTGAGGCTTTCTGCTTGGGACACACAGAGTAAGTGCAATCCTGCCTCCTCAGTCAGGGAAGTCTGGGTCTAATGGATTAGGGTGGGTCAGGGCCTGATAGGTGATCGTAGACTAGTAAGGGCTACATGCTAAGAGCTACTCAGGCTCAGAAGGCTCTACCAGCCCCTGGCTCCCCCAGTGTGGCAGCTGCAGGGCTGTAGGCCATGTGAAGCAGTTGCTCTGAGCTTACCTCCTGGACTGTTGCTCCTCAGCCCATTTCTACAGTCTTCCCAGGCCTGGTGACCAGTGCTGGTAGCTCAAAGTAGTCAGGAGACTGAGGAGCATCCTTTAGGTACTTGGACTGTTGGGAGTTAAATGACTGGGTTTGTTTCTGCCTGTGCTCTCCTGCTAGGTGAGCTCTAGATGGGAGGGGAGGCATTGATGAATAGTGTACTGTTCAGAAGGGAAAGGGCATTATTGCAGACCCTGGAGTACCTGAAGGACTTAAATTCAGTTTTGAGCAAGCTCTTGTTTTCTTGAGTGGGATACAGAAGTTCGCCTTAGAGAGAAGGCTGGTGTCACTAAGCTTATACTTTTCCATAGCTTAAATGGCTCATGCTCCGGGTCTTGAGTTTTTACCCTCAGTCATGTCCTCGTACTGTGTCTCAGTGACTGCATGAATTTTGAACCTCAGCTGTCACATACTCATTCCTCAGGATCTTGACATGTGCTGATTCTTGAGACAGGAAGGTGTGTGGGAGGCAGACCTCTCTCTGCTCCTTCCCTACTTTTCCCTTGATGCTGCCTGCTTCCTTGGGGGGTTTCCCCTCCATCCTCTGCAGGAATCTGTCACTTGAATACCGTGACTTCGGTATGAACAGGTCCTATTAGCTTTTTGGGTTTCTGCAGGGCCAGAGATGGAACCCTTCTGTGTCCTTTTCTATGATGATTGTTCAGGCTATGGAGACTAGTTCCTACTTACCTGCTGAAAACTTGGGGTGACTTGGGCCTGGGGTGACTTGGGCCTGTAGAGTCTTCAAAGGTTATTCTTAGATGACCTAAGACTAGAACTAGGAACCCTAAGAGATGGTCAAAGGCCAGCTACAGACCAGGCCTAGGTCAGGGTGGTGGGCATGAAGCGAGCCATCCGGGCCAAGATATTGGAGTCCTGGGTCTTGTGAATGATACCTTGAGGTCTCTGTTAAGAGCTGGTAGAGAGCATTCTTGCTGCCTGGCAGGTGCTCCGGACATGTTTGTAGCTAGATGGACTGCTGGGTAGGTGTGGGAATTCCTGGAGAGCCAGCTTGCTCAGGTGCACTTCTGGTGGCAGGGTGGTTGTTCCTGTCCTATACAGTTAGAGGCTATGGAGCTAGACTGAGATTGGTGGATAGAAGTCTTTGGGTGAGTTCCTTGGGGCACTGGTACTAGACTGGGCACATAGAGGTCCTTTGGGGTCTGTTTTGACTTCAGAGTGACCTTGAGTGTAGGCATCTTGGCTGAAGGCAGGTATGTGGGGCAGTGAGGTGGCAGGCCCATGAAGAGCTGCATGTTCTACAGTGCTCCAGCAGGACTGGACCCTGCCACCCTTGGTCCAGACGTAGTGTCGGGGGCTCAAAAGTGCCCAGCCATGTTCTCAGATCTGCTGGTATGGGTTAGGTCTGCAGTGTTTTCCTTTTCTGAGCAGGGTGAGATACTCCCTTCTGTGTTCCTGTTGACCTATCTCTGCTCCCCACAGGTTTGTGAGCCGCATCTTCATTGTGCCCAGTCATCCTGAGCTGCTGCTTTCCTCCTCTGGGGTAAGTGTTGTGCTTGCTGGGGTAGTCACTGTTGCACAGAAGAGAAATAGCCACCAGCCTCTTGTCACCAGCTAGGGTGCCCTGTATGTCAGTGGATGGCCACTAGAGGGAGCTTCTTCCTGGCTCTTAGAGTGCCCTCTTCCTTCATGGCTATGCACACAGTTTGTGCATGCATGTGTGTTAGCTTGCCTGGTCCCAGCATAGCAGAGGTTGTAAGTGGAGTAATGGGAGTCTGGCCATTTTGGTTCCTTTGTCCATTGTGCCATGGACTGTGTGTCTTGAGTGGCCTTTCTTCGCAGAGGCTTTCCTAGGTGTTCCTGGCATAATTGGTTAGCTTCCAGTACTTTTCAGAGAGATAAAGGAGCCGTAGACGTCAGTGGGGGAGCTGGCCATACCCAGCCGCTCAGTGACATGTGTTTCCACTCCCCTCTCCCAGCCTTTCTTGCTTGTGGGACACGCCTCTTGAGCCCACATGCTAACCCGTCTGTGTGTGCACAGGATGGTACCTTGAGACTCTGGGAGTACAGGAGTGGCTACCAGCTGCAGTGCTGTGACCTGGCCAGTCTACGGGAGCCTGCAGAGCATCAAAGCCACAAGGTAACTTAATGCTCATCTCTGGTACTGGAGCACTTGCCAAGCATCTCCTATTGCCGTGACTGTGGGAAAGTCATCTGTAAGAATCGTTTCCTTGCTGTCAGTGTCTGACTTCTTCCTGAGCGGGAGAAACACACATAAGATTTCTAGTTTTAAAGATGCCCGATCACCTATTGGGAAGTAATTCACATCTCACCTTAGAGAGGCCTCTAGGCATACATGGACATGAGAAAATATTGGCAGAGGGCCTTGCCTTACCTGTGTTGTGTCAGTGGTGGAGGTTAGCAGCCCAGCTTTCTCTGTGCTCATGGAGTGCCTCTCTTGGCACCTGCTGTACCCATACTTCTGGCATCAGGGACATTCCCAGATTGCTCAGCTATCTGTCTTAAAATAGGGTGGCATGGTGTCTGCCCTCTGCCAGTGAGCAGCAGGTGCTTTTTCCCCACATGTCATGAAATCTGGGACTTTAGAAGCTGCTTCTTGGTGTATCATAGAAGCCCAGAGGACAGTTGTTTTATTACAGCCCCTCTTCCCATGTCCCTGCCTTCCCATTGTATCATAGGCCTGCAGAGAGCCAGGGTCACACACTGTCATGTGAGGACAGGGGCATTAGCTGCTACTCTCCTGATTCCAGAATGTTCGTCTTTGCCTTGCTTTGGCATTGAGGGAATTATGATGCCTGTGGCCTTCCCCTCTGGTGCCAGGCAGCAGAGCCTGGTTAAGTAGCTGCTTTTTCTTGCAGGGGTTGGCTGCATCCAGGATTGCATTCTGGGGACAAGAGAGCTGTGTGGTGCTTCTGTGTGAGTGGTAAGACAACAGGTTTCACTGCCAGTGGCCTGTGGCTTGTCTTTAAGTGATGAAGATGTAGGCAGCTGTTAACTCTACTACTTACTCTTCAGGGAGGGGCTAGGGTCCTCTAATCTGCCGCTTGTACTTAGTTGGCTTGAAGGGTAGCTGGAAACTCTTAGGTATGACGGAATGTTTGGAGAAGATCCCATAGGCCAGTTCCACTCAGAACTGCTCTTGCTGGAATATGCCCGAGAGATGAACCAGAGGGCAGATTGAGGGGTAGGGTGTAATTGAGGGGCTTCCTTCTGCCCTTTCTCAGTGCCAGGGTAGATCTCTGGTGCTCCTAGTTCTCCTTAGAAATGAGAACACCGGTTTGGAGAAGAGAGAATCTCCTCTGACACTGGCTTACTCTCTAACAGTGGTTCTCTGCTCTCCTACTGCTACTTCATAGCTAACTTTGCTGCTGTTATAAGTCGTAAAGTAAAAACATCTGTGTTTTCCAATGGTCTTAGACAACTCCTGTGAAAGGGTCACTGGTCTATACACTCAGGGTGGGATGGCCAATTTCACTCTTTGTCCTGTATTGGTTAGTTCTTGCAAATCATCTCACAGGGTTTGGGTGCCTCAGTTGGCTTCTGGCTCAGGGTCTTCAGGGTGGAAGAGGCAGGCCTGCGGTTGCAGTGGTGACCAGTCTCTCTCTCCTGCAAAGCGTTCCTGTGGTCTTCATCTTCCAGCTTGATGCCAGCAAACAGCAGCTGGTGTTCAGACAGCAGCTGACTTTCCCTCATCGGGTGTGGGATGTCGTCTTTGAGGATTCACAGGGGCTGTGGGTTCTGCAGGACTGTCATGACGCTCCCCTAGTGCTCTGGAGGCCCGTGGATGGCCAGTGGCAGGTGAGCATGCAGCACCACTGTTCTGATGGGGCAGGGTGTGGCAGGGTTTGGTAGGTGATAGCTATGGTTTTCTTACACCCTGAACCTCAGTTTGATCACATCTAGGTCCTAAGACTGAACCCCGGGGCAGCTGTGACTGGAGGCCTCATGTAGTGAAGTGACTTGACCTGAGCAGGGCATTCATTTGCCATTAGTGAAACCTCAACCCATACTGGTGAAGCCAGCACTAGGCCTGATGTGGGTGTGCAGACCCTGTGCAGGAGCTTTGCTGAGTACTGATGGGGTGGAGGGAGCAGTGTGGGGACACCCTTGCCAGTCCCATGAGGTGGGTGAGGTGGGACAGCACTGGGATCTCTTGGCCAGCTTCAGCTTCCTGTGCTCAGCTCCTGGGGCTGAAGGCTTTTTTACATGATTAGCCTTAGAGATAATGAGCCTGTACCTGATGATGGGCCCTGCTAGGCCTCTGCCTGCCATCTCTGGGCGCTGGTTTGGTTCTGACCCTACTTGTCTTCTGCAGGCTGTTCCTGAAGGTCCTGTGTCCAAGAGACTCTGCAACCATCTCCGTGAGAGCTGGGCCATGTTGGAAGGTGAGAACTGTTAGGTCTGTGGTGCAAATGAGAGATAACACAGCAGTATGAGAAGTGGGCAGAGCCAGTGCAGGCCGGTCAGCATTCTTGCAGGAAGGTGTGCCTATAGGTCACCAGCATGTGTTGCTACTGCAGGTGCAGTGAGAAGTAATTGAGGCCGTGGGGGCCGAGTGTCCTGGTTGGTGTGGAGCATCCAGGTGACCACTGTTGTATTTACTGGACACAGAATGGTCATTCAGGCAGGAGCATCCAGACTCTGTCTTTTATGAAACAATTACTCAGAAAAGATCATGCAAAGCCAATTCTCCTTAGAAGTCAGGGTTCCTAAAGTCTACAGGATCTGATTTGAAACTTGCATTCAGGGGTGTTTGCCCTCTGAAGCCTGCAGGCTCACTTGCCCCAGGGTAGTCTAGTGGAGTACTTGCTTAGTTGAGATCTCCTTCTTTCAAAATGACTCCAGCTTGTGTTGACATAAAAGTAGCCAGGACAAAACAGAAAGGTTTGTGTCTTCTGGCCCAGTCTAAATCTGCGTCAGTCCTTTGGGTGGACCTGGGCTGGTCACCCTAGGTACCCCTGACTAGCCTTTTTTTTTTTTTTTTTTTGGTTTTTTGAGGCAGGGTTTCTCTGTCTAGCTTTGGAGCCTGTCCTGGAACTAGCTCTTGTAGACCAGGCTGGCCTTGAACTCACAGAGATCCTCCTGCCTCTGCCTCCCAAGTGCAGGCATTAAAGGCGTGCGCCAGCAATGCCCAGACTAGCTTTTTAAGTGTAATTGTTATATGTCTTATAGACAACCTCTTCAGAATCTGAAACTTGAGTTGTCAGGACTGGTGGCTGGTGCCTTCCCACTGAGCCATTTGCTGGCCTCCCACTAGAGCTCCTCATTGCTACCTATGCTGCCCTCTGGGCTGTTCTGGGCCTTGTCAGTCTGGTTCTGTTGAGGGTTTCCTGGTGCAGACTCAGGCCAAAGCCTGGCTTCGCTTCTAAGATATTCCACACACAGATGGAGGCATGTGCGCATAGGGCAGGAAGGAGAACCATGCTATCCTGAGCAGTGGCCTTGGCTGTGGCTGCTAGAGGTCAGGGAACCACACCCACCTCAGGGAGGGGTGACATAGGGGCACTCTCTCTGGTATGCAGTGCTGACTGTCCTTAGGGTGTGCCTCACCAGGGTGAGACTGGTAGAGGCTGTGCCAGTAGCACATTAGATTAACACTCAAGGGAGTCTACTGCATGCTCTCACCACCCAGAGCCACACATTGCTGCTGCTGTCCCTGTGGGTGCCGTAGGCTGCCTACCTGGTGTTGATCAGCACTGGCTGGTCTCCATTTTCCCTTGGGCAGGGTCCATCCCTGTTCAGTAGGAGGACTTGGGTTCATTTCTGTGCTATCCCCTGTTCAGAACCCGCAGGCTTTGTCAGTTAATGAACAGGAAGGTGCAGACAAGATGTCACCCAAGACCTTGTCCTTCCTTCCACCTCTACCCCTCTCCTTCACGACATGAATATGGGTCCCAGATGGTAGGGTCACATGAGCTTCCTCAAGGTCTGTGAGATGTCAGGGAGTTAGAATTCCCAGGGCAATCCTGTGAGGTCACTTCACCTGGCATCTGGTCTTGTCCTTGTCACAGGCTCTGTGGGTGCAGATGATGGCTTCCGCAGTCTTTACAAGGCTACCTTTGACAACATGACCTCTTACCTGAAGAAGAAGGAGGAGAGACTGCAGCAGCTGAAGAAGAAACGACAAAGGAGCCCCCTCCCACGGTCCCCAGAACAGACAAAAAAGGCGTGCCCAGGGCAGGCGGCCCTTAGTTGCTGACCTTGGGCTTGGTGGCAGCTTGAGGTCTCTTGGGCCTCTCTCTTCTCCCCCTTGCCTGGTTCATCCACAAGGAGGGAGATCATGGCAGCTCAGTCCCCACCACTAGCTCTGTGACAAAGACGGAGGACAGCCTCCCGATTATCTGTGCCTCCTGTTGGCAGGGAAGACGAGGTGTGTTAGCCTAGCTAATGATTCTGCGTAGCTGTGTGGAAGCACCTTCACATTGAAGGATACACTGACCTGCAGCACCACATCAGTCTGTCCGTGCCCACAGTGCTGTCTGTATCTCTAGGGGTCCTGTGGCAGGACCTGTCTTCATGCCATTGCTGTGAGCTCTCCAGGTGTAGCATAGCACGGCTCGCACGGAGCTGCTTGCTGTTGCTCTGTACTCACAGGGACTCAGTCTGGGCCAAGCAGAACTGCATGTGCATCGCAGGGAAGCAGGCATGGTATCGGTGCTGGAGCTTGCCTGCTACGGGGCATATCAGGATGTGACCTTGGCCAGGCCTTGATATACAGGGAAACCAGTGATGTGGGTCCATTGCTTTGAACTCTGCACGCTCTGCAGAACAAGAACAGCAGGCAATCAGCTGAACACATGGCATCAATAAAGACAAACTTTGCATAGCTTTCTGCAGTGTTCATCAGCGGCCTCCAAAACTAGTGTGTCTCTGTATGTGTAGCTTTGTAGATCAGGCCTGGAACTCAGAAATCCACCTGCCTCTACCTCCCGATTAAAGGTATGTGCCACCACTGCCCAGCTCCAATGTGGCCTTAAGACAGCACATGTATACTGTTGAGATGACACAGCTCATGGTGGTTAGAGAGGTATCACCTATGCTGTGTCCCAGACCAGCTTCAACAGAAACAGCCCTGAGCTGGGGGATGCTTGTTGAGTAAGAGCAGCTGTGAAAACAAGACCTCTATCCCATATCACTGTGGTACTTCCACTGGATACACCCAGACCCGCACCACTGGGGCCAGGGACAAATCATAAATGGATCCACAAGAGGTGTAATGGTATCACTGTGGGGTAGGAAAGTCAGGAACACCGACAGGTACAGGGTTGTTGCTGGGGGCGGGGAGTATGTGTGACAGGACATGCTGTCAACTACTACTGCTGTTTGACACATCAGAGCCACAAGGAAACACTGCAAACAGTCACCAGGCTCCCCAGTCTCATTTCTTTGACACAAGGACTCCCCAACACTATGTGGCTATTTCAAACCTGAAGTGCCTCAGCAACATACATGTTCGGTCTAGGAGTACATGGCCCTCTGAAGGCTCCTTGCATCAATCCACATAGCAGCTGAGGACTCTCATCTCCATCCACTAGAAGGCAGAGAGCCCACTGGGAATGGCTAAGGCCTTTTGAAACCTCAAACCTGACACTTCCAACAAGACCACATGTCATAGTCCTTCCCAAGCATTTAACTACTGGGGGCCAAATATTCAAACATGAGCCTGTGTGTGTGTGTGTGTGTGTGTGTGTGACTTTCATTCAGACCACAGCACAGCATCTTCGTTTGTCTATACTACTTACTTGCCAGCCCATTACAATTTATCTTGACTCCTTTCACTTTTGTTTCTATGGCTTGCTTTGAGAGACATTCATTGTTCTCTGCCCCACCTCTAATTGGTTAAGCAACATCTGGTGGTATTCATATTTCTATTTTCAAGTGCACGAGGAGTGTACGTGCTAGAATTTCACCTCTTGGATTCACATGTGTGAAGGTGTCCTCAGGCATGGGGCACTTGCCAGCTTCTGAGATGACACATTCCTTTGTCCCCACTACCTACTAACACTGGTGGCCAGACTAGCCTCTGCTTACCTTCTGGGACTGAGATGTACACACTGCACATGGCTTGGGTGCTCTGTCTAAGAAAACACTAGACTACTATATCCACAGGCACTGGATGGTTTAAAATGTTGGCTAATAGGAAAAAAGCTGTTGTGAGCATTCAAGTCCCTGCTGTTGGACAGGGAAGAGTTTCTGTGGGCTACAAAGTTATCCATCAATGTCTGCAGGAGACTGATTCCAGTGCTCCCAGGACAGCAGAATACCCAGTTCTGCAGATGCTTGAGTCCCTTGTGTTAAGTACTGCCTTTGCAGTAGAACCTCCACCTGACACCCAGCTCTCCAACACCCTGAACTTGCTTTTGATGCTCAGTGTGAGAATTCTTCATCAATCTCAGATTTTGAAGATTTTCTCTTGATTTTTCTAGGATACTTCTGGTTTCATTTGTCCTGTAACTGCAGTCCCCTCTGATCAGATGCCGTGTGAGCTCTGAGCCTCTACTGTGGTGACTTTGGACATCCCATTGTTGAATGGCTTTTGCAGCTCCTCTCGTCTTAGCTACAGTTTTAGATTGGGAGTTGAGTTATTTCTTTCCTCAGGCTTCACTGCCTTGCCTCTGGCCTGTAGGTGTCATCTCTACTGATTTTGTTCCCTCAGTTCCTGGGTACCAGTCCTCTGCTTTTGTCCTGAAGACAGTCCCCTCAAGGTTTGTCCTTTCTTGAAAGCACAGTGCTAAACTCTGCCACTAGGAGGAGCTAGAGGCATGCCAGGGGTGCTACCTTTTCTGGGCTTCTGAGGTATGTGCTTGCCTGCATGTGTGGACATTCAGTGACACTCTATTCTAGAGTTGAGCAGCTCCTAGCCAGTGGCTTCCTGGTGACTTTTCCAGCTTTCAGTGGCCTTGGCTGCCAGCCCTTTGACAAGTCACCATTCTGTGTGACATGACCACTATCAGCAAACAGGTTCTGCATCTTAGGCACAGTGAATACTCAGCATTTTACTGTGCCTGTAGCCTGCCCTGTGGTGGTGGCCACCACTGAGAATACACAGTTTATTTCTACTGGGCGCAGGGGACTCTTCCCTGTGGCTTTTGAGTTTTTTTTTTTTCTTTAAATCGTGTGTGTGTATGTGTTGGGGCTTCTTGATTCTTGTTAAACTTAACTTTCTTTGTGACAAATGGGACATCCCCAGCTCCTACCCTTCTGCAGTTCTGACTCTGGTGTGACTGGCTTGGTCTGCTGGCCCCCAGGTTGCTGTTCTCCACCTGTCTTCAGGTAGGGCTGAGTCCACTTATGCTAAGGTGGGGCTACACTGGGTCCCTGTTCAATGCCATGTACCCCGAGCATGACCCAAAGTTCTAGGGAAACCAGAGTGGCTCCCAGGCTGATGTGAGGTGTGGGGTTGCCATCTTAGGTGGCCAGGAATTTTTCTTCTCAAAAGTTGCTCTTTCTGGTCTCAGGGTTTTGTGGTTGGGTTTGGTATTCAGATATAGACCTGAGAGAACCCAGCCACCATTTCTTTACCTCCACATCCCTGTGCGTGCTGGTGGCCTGCCTGTCCTCGGGGGCATTGCTGTCACGGCTCCTTCTTGGGGTATTGCAGTCAGAATTGCTCCCAGGTATACAGCCTAGAGGATGTGCTTCTGAGGGCTGGGACAAGGTTTACACCGTTGGTTCCCCTGTAGGAATGTGAAAGGGTCACTCTAGGCCACTTTGCCCCATCCTGACCAGCCAGGAGATTGCTTGTGCTCTTGAATTTGAATTTTCACTTACCTTTGAATTCCTAGGGGATCCCCTTTGCTCTATTGTTCATGGGGTTGTTTTGTCTGAGTCTGAAGGCTCATTTGAAGGTAACCTTTCAATGAATTGCTGCCCCCCATTTTAACTTTTGATTTTAAATGTGTTTGTTTTAAAAACTACTACACTTCACCCACCAAGCCTCTCAGAACTGCCTTTTATTTTTAAGACATTTTTGTTTTTTGGTTTTTCGAGACAGGTTTCTCTATATAATAGTCCTGGAGCTCACCCTGTAGATCATGTTGGCCTCAAACTCAGAGATCCTCCTGCCTCTGTCTCACAAATGCTGGGGCTAAAGGCTTACGCTACCATCACCCAGCCCCAGAGCTGCTTTTAATGCGAATATTTGCAGTCACATCGTCAGCATTTGCTCTTGGTTCCACGGGACAGCATTTTGGAAGCTAGCTCCCACCACTCTTGCTTTAGAGTGGCTGTTGGTAAGCAGGGAACCAGAATAAGGCATCCACTCGGGGAACACCTACAGAAGAGTGGGAGGGAGGAGCAGGGTGACGGTGTCCCGGGAAAGCCACCAGGCTGGGCACATGCATGTTTTCCAATCTATGAAACAAAAACTGAGCGTCTCTCAGCAGCTCACTGTAAGCTTTGTCAGTTTTTGGAGCAGAAAATTAGAACCCTACATTGTTATTACGATCTTCTGGTTCCAGAGTCCCAGTGGAGAAGTGAAAGCTGAAAAGTAGGCTCCTCAGACACAGTGCTTTGTGGGGAGAGGGGAAATGCCCGGGCAGGGGAGCTGGGGAGCCGCGCAAAGCTCCACCAGGGCACTGGGGACGAGCTTCCCAGACTCCCTCCCTGTGGGTCAGCTTGGGCAAGGACAATGGCAGAGGTAAGAATTCTGCAGCTCTCTGGGACAAGCCATCTCCTAAGTCATTGCACTTTAAGGCCACTGGCACATACACTTATGTTAGTTTGCTTTCTATGATAAAACACCATCACCAGAAACAACTTGACAGGGGGTTATTTAATCTTATGGATGGCCTATGGTCCATTACTGAAGGAAGCCAATGTAGGAACTCAAGGCAGAAACTTGTGAAAGATTTTAGTTTGCAGAACAAGGATGTAGGAAAGGGACAGGAGAATAATTCTTGCAAGCGGAATATAGAAAATCATAAAGAATGGATGTTGACACAGGAGGAAAAAAATCAGGAATTATGAGAACAAGAAAGGTTACTATGGTGATGGGGCTAGTGATTATATGCTAGACTGATCTTGTTAAATAGGGCTTGTTACAGCCAAGAGAAAGCCAGAGTATGAAAAAAGTTTCTCACAGGTCTTGGCCCAAAACAAGGGAATAGGCCCCCAACCCTGGAACAAATTATTCCAGATGAACAGCCCTGTCTGGGTCACTCCTGGCCAACGGATAGTCTGTGCATCTTTCCCCGAGATTGCTGTCACCCAGGTGCACTTGTTCAATAAACACCTCTTGCTTGTTGAATCTTCTGGTTTTGGTGTTTGTGTCACGGGGCTCTCCCATCGGCCCATCAGGACCCCAGAATTAGGGTCCAACACTTGGAGGATGCTGCTTACTGGCTTGCTCAGTCTTTTTTCTTTTCTTTCTTTTTTTTTTTTTTTTTGAAGATTTAATTATGCATACAATGTTCTGCCTGTATGTATGTCCATAGGCTAGAAGAGGGCACCAGATTTTACTATAGATGGTTATGAGCTACCACGTGGTTGCCAGGAATTGCACTCAGGACCTCTGGAAGAGAAGCCAGTGCTCTTAACCTCTGAGCCATCTTTCCAGCCCTTCCTCTGCTTTCTTAGACAACCCAGGCTTACCTGCTCAGGGGTGGCATTGCTCTGCTCACTGGAACACACTTGCTTTTATATCAATGAGGCATTGGTTGATTCCCAAATAAAAACCATTCAGAACAGGGGTGTGGTTCAGTGGTAAAAGTGTGTGCTGAATATACACAAGGCCTGGATTCCTCATCTCCAGATCTAAATGTGTTATATTCTGTCTTTTGATTATGTGTACATGACAAATAGAACATGCTATGTCTGGCAGCCTGA